CTCTCTCTCTCTCTCTCTCTCTCTCTCTCTCTCTCTCTCTCTCTCTCTCTCTCTCTCTCTCTACCTACCTACCTATCTATCTCGCGCACGCGGGGGTAGACATTTTTATCCGACAGCTCCTTAGTCTATACTCACACCGGATTTCTTTTCAATGTATGTCCGTCGATGTGTATCTTCCTATGTTCTTGCGGAAGATTCCTTCTCATTTTGCACATTGGCAGGCTGCTCAGCTTATGCACATGTGAAACTGTTGAATTCCAGACATGATTTCTAATCCAGCGACGACCACAGTAAAATAGTTCTGATTTACAAAGGATCTGAGGGTGTGCTGATGCTTTCGCTGATGCCCCCTGGAATGCTGCACGTCCCTCATGTTCTAAAACAAACACCCTCAATGTCACCCGGGCCAGATAATGGCCGTGCCTGGGGTGGACCCGGAGCGAAGAGGACGCGTGAGGGAGAGGAGGGCGTCGCACAAGGAGGAGGAGGTCACACGAGGGGGAAGGAGGGGTCGCACGAGGGGTATGAGCTCCGAAGAGAGGGAGGAGGGCGTCGCACAGAGGTCGCACAAGGGGGAGGACGAGGTCGGAAGGCGATGTGCGAGGGCGAAGAGCAGATCGTGCAAGGACGAGCAGGAGGTCGCGTGGAGGTTGTGTGGAGGTCGGACGAGGTGGGAGGAGGTCGTGCGAGCAGGACGAGGTCAGTAGAGGAGGTGTGAGGGGGAGGAGGAGGTCGCGCAAGGAGGAGGAGGAGCTGGAGAAGGCCGGAAGAGAGGTGGGAGAAGGTCGGGCAAGGGGGAAGAGGAGGTGCGAAGACAATGTGCGAGGGGGAAGTGCAGGTCGCGCAAGTACAGGGAGGAGGTCGTGCAAGGGGGAGGAAGAGGTCGTGGGAGAGGCAGGAGCAGGTTGCACGATGGGGAGGAGAGGTTGCAGGAGGTCGTGCGGGAGGGGGGGGGGGGGGGGGGGCTGCGAGGGAAGAGAGAGAGAGAGAGAGAGAGAGAGAGAGAGAGAGAGAGAGAGAGAGAGAGAGAGAGAGAGTCCACCTTTTTTTGGGGGGGGCAACTTGCCAAATACCCCCATAAGTTGAGATATATGTCATAATGTCCCTGAAAGATCTGGGCACAGTGGAATGGCCTTTTGATCTGGCATCTTTGTGTTATGGCCCTGTCAGGCGGGC